ATGTTTGTTATATATATATATATATATATATATATATATATAAAGAAAAAATAATTAAGTCTTAATATGAAGTAAAGGAAGGAAAATACTAATATAAAATAAATGTTTAAATATGAAGTACATTTATTTATACTTTAGAAACATGAATTAAGGAAGGAAAATATGCAAGTCAAGCTAGGTTTTCATAGACCTAAGCATGACCTTGTTCATAATTACAAAGTTTGAGTTTAACTTATTTGATCTATTATAAATGAAGTTTTAAGCTCTAGCTAAAATTGTTCGAAGAAGGTCACCCACAAATCATTTCTTTTTGACATCCTTATCGACACATGCTTGTTCTTATTCTCCTTCCATTTCCTCCTTCCCCACTCCATCCACCTTCACTTGTAGAAAGATAATCAATGTCCGTGTATATTAGACTACAATCAAATCACACTCAACTTCATTTGAAAATGGAACAAATTTTCAATGAAACTTTTATGGCAACTTTTCCTTGTTGTCACTACTATGTGACTAGATATCAACTTAAAATTATATTTAATGAAAAATATGCATTCTAATGTAAAAAAAATTGTGAATGTAACTTTTTTCAATCTTAATCAAGTTCAACTCAATTATTTTTCAAACACAACCTATGACTTTGTAGTGTGGTTTTATGAAATGTGTCATGGTGGGTGGCGTTTGGGTCTCATTGATGATTGTCATGGATGATTGATCATGTTGTTAATTATTGTCGTGTAGTCGTAAATGTTTGAATTGTGATCTCTTGTACTAAAGTGTAGTGCAATGCAATGCAATTTGATCTTTGCGTAATGAACTTTTAAGTAATATAAAAACATGTTAAGAATGCCACACTTTATGTGAATTTAAAAACATTAATTTAAATTACACACTTACCTGTTGAGAACACGAGAATTATCTACCATTATTGAAGATTCCCTGTGTTTGAGTAATTGCAATAAAAAAAACGAGTCTTCTTTTACCTTATCAGACACTCCAATATTCTAGATTTCCAACAAAAAAAAATTCAAAAAAATAATTATATATTATTGTGACAACAAATGAGACTTTTTAAAACACATTATTTATTAATTCTAAACACCTCTCATTATAAATATCGAAATTAAACCTATATAATTCTTACAGAAATTAATATTAGGTTCCTAAAATTAATTAATTACATTTGATCATTATTAATATTTTTAAATATCATCAAATGAATCAAAATATTAACATGTTTTTCGGAAAAAACAAAAAGTCAGAATTAATTGTCATTTTACAATTCTTTTTAACACAATAATAGTAAAAAAAAAAATGGTGGCCCGATTTATTATAATTCAAGAAAACAGGAGTGAATTGAGTTATAATAAAACTTTTCATGAACCGATTTCTCCAAATCATGAAAAATATAATCGAGAAAAAAATGAAAAAAAAAAATCCCAATTATTATTATTATTTTTTTAAAAGTATCGGACTAAATTTCAAATTCTTAACATATTTGATTTCATTTTAATTACATGTCTCATCTTATAAATTACATGTTTCATTTCATTCAACAACAACAAAAATCTCTTTCTTTCAAACTACATGTTTCATCATAAATTTTCCAATTAATCTCCAACATTAACAGTGTTAAAGTATAATGTAAATGAAGTGTCAAGGACAATTCTTTCTTCATCCATTTATCTTTGCCTACATAATTTTTTTTTATAAATTCCTTCTTCTAACCTTCTTTTGTCGGTCCTCAGCCCCAGGACTTCGATGCTATGCAACATTAAATGACACATGGGTTATAACAATCTACAAGAACCTTAGACAGTGACATTCAAATATTATTCATACTTGCATAATAGCTACGTCACAATGCTGTCATTTTCTGTTTGCATGCTCCAATTACCTAATTAAGATCGCTTTCGTCTGCACCCAATCGCAATTAATTAGTAGTTTAACCAAACTTTTTGGTTTTTTTAAGATAAAATTTTATTAATGAGAATACAAGGAATTGAATACTGTCATTTATGTTCATAAAAGAATATATAATCCCGTTCTAATACGTGAGAATATGAATGAAAGAAAACTCAGCACCTTCACGACTGTTGTCCATAAGACAAAGAGAATGCAGAGGATTTATACACTAGTAAATATGAAGGGCACAAATATGTTCTACTTTCCCCTTCATGGCTTCATTAATTCAGACCCAAGTTCATGTCTTAATTATTTCTATTACCATATTTTTTGAGTCAATTGGACAGTTATGAAAAGAGAATCTAGTTTCAAGTGAGTTCATATAGACCACCCAAAAAAAAATAAAATCAAATTCCATCCTTCTTTATGATGAAAGCTTCATAATTAATATGATAATATCACAAACAATCCACACCTCACTTGTTTGAAGTTAAGTAGTTTTAATTTGTTTGAAGGACGCGAGTATTAAAATAGCATTATGGATAGTTGGTTCTTTGTTGTGGAACCACCAACCACTCCAAATTTTTTCTAGAGCAATTCGAAAGAAAGAAAAAAAATTGTTTGTTCCTTGTCTCTCTCGATAGAAAAACCAAGAAAAATAAACGAATTGCTAAATTTAATACACATGTGCGGGTATATGCCAAACAACTTTGCTCCTCTCCATGTGGTCTCCAATAATGAAACTCAAATAAAAATTAGTGTATGGTAAGATAATCCATTGTGACCCACTGCGAGCCAAGCAAATTGTGCAGTCTTGTGTGTTTCTTTTTGGTACAAATCTTGAATGTTACTTAGACGTGTTAGAATGCCATTCCCTCAATAACAGGCTCCGATCCCGAGAAACATTTTTTAATGTACGATACCATGATGAACCACCCCTGACCACTATTGTAACATTTGCTTTGCCTTTTCTTGCATCTTCCCCACTATTGGAGTTTTGCTATGTCTATAGAAAGATTCATATATTATTTGGTAGTACTACTAGAACAGGATATTAGGATAAGATGACGATGATGACTACATGATATATTACTATACTAGCGTTCATTCGGTCAATTATTGACCTTCAAATTTTAGCTTTACAAGCTCAAAAATGAGAACCATTCAACTAGCATAGGATTCTAATCTTCATCTCCACGTGATTTGTCGCTTTACACCACATGACTCCATGAGCTAATATCGCAAAAGAATTTACAGAGAACCTTCCCACTCTCAACATGAGTCGAGGTGGGTGGGGGGTCATTTGCTCATACGTCACTTCTCAATATTTCTCTCTGAATGTTGTTTGTTTTATTTAATTTCTTATTACGTATGTACCGTTGTTCGTTACTATTACACACCCTTTAGAGAAATTTAATTTGAATTTATCTCATTAAAAAAAGGAAGTGCGTGTAGAAGAAATATAAGGAAAACATATAATTTAAAGTGTAAAAACAACATTTTTATTCATATATGAATTAATTTTTCTAATATATTACTTTCACTTCCTTGAAAATTGTTTTTATTAATTACAGTTATTTTCTTTATATATTTGGAACTGATATTCTATAACTCTAATCTAGTTTAGGAAGCTTTTATAACAAAAGAAAAATACCATGAACTATCTTTTCCATCAAATCCCATTCTATATTTTTCTATCTTCTTAAGGCAATATTTGATTAAAAAAGCCAACATTCCATGTTACCTTTCCATTCGTGTAGAGGCTAATAGTGTTATAACAAAATAATAAGCTTTGTATGAAAAGTGTTTGGAAATTCTAAAACAACATTTAAAAAAAAGAACAAGTTCCTTTTAGAAAAATGTAAAGTAAATATAATGTAGAAACATCTACATTGGTAGACTTTACTATAGTTGTTCGCGCACTAAATGTTGAGGAAAAGGTTTTTAAATGGAGAAGTGGGGTAGCATATGTAAGACCCTGAACTCTAAAAGGAGAAAGATGACAGAAGAAGACTATGAAGCTATGGGTAGAGGACCAAGTGGGGCTTTCTTCTCAGTCAATCAACAATAAGAAGCATCTGTGTGCAGCATCTGCCTACCCCATTGAAAAGGATTTCACTCCCACTTTGCATTTTGAAACTCTCACATTTTAGCTTACCTTGCCTTTTTGACCTACATTTTCTCATTCTTGCGCATGGTCATGAACAGTGGCACACAAACATAGGCACGCATTGATACAGGAATTAAGCTAGTTAACTTCCGTACATTATTTTATTTTATTTTTTATAAAAATTAATTTACAGGAATAATATTGCAGAGCTTATCAATATAGGTTTCACAACTAAAATAAACATTTATATAAAAGTATTTTCAAATTATATATTTTCTCCAACAAAATCATCAGATCAATAGAGGAATTTAAACTGGTATATATCTTTGTGAGATCCTATTCTCACCGACGATACCAACCTTGGTTTGCTTTCTGTACATTAACATAAATCAACAGATAGCGTACTATTACTTGATAAATTTAGAGATAAGATGCAATATTAAAGGAAGCAGAATAAACACGCAATACACAATGTCAATTCAATTTGACGTCAGCTTCTTCATCAGATACACAAATCTCTTGCAGACAGACTCACAGGCAACTAAAACTAGAAGTCTAGAACAAGATCAAGCATGCAAGCAAATAAGTCATATTCTTATTTGTTTATTTCTCTCTTTATACAAATACCCTAATAATCTCTAAACTCCTGAATTAAACTCTAGCCCGCTAGATTAATAACAGAGAATTAAAACGACTTAAATATATAACAAAATAAAAAAGTTACATAATAACAGAACTAAATTAATTCTAGCCAGCTCTAATTAACTAGCTACATATATATAAGGTTGGTGAAGGTTATTTTCTTTCCCACCTCTACAATATAATCAATTAGCTAGCCCTTTCAACATGGCGTATGAACACAGTTTCTAAGTCCGGTGGAGTGAAGAACTCTCTAGCTCCACCACGATAGTTGCACTTCAAAGAAGGTTTTCTCTTCCTAGGAGGTGGTGGGCACTTCAAAGAGGTTGGAATCTTTGCTTCTTCCCCTTTTGGTGTCGTTGAATTATACTCCTCCATGTCACCTTCATCTTGTTCTTCTTTCTCCACAGTGGTGGTGTATATTGGCTTCAATGGTGCTCGCAAAGAGATTCCAGCGATGACCCATTTTCTAGTACTATCTGACTCTTCCACTTGTGGCTTCTCAGAGAACCCCATATTTAACTACCAAAAGGGAAATATGAATATGTATATAGCAGGGAATAAGGGAATAAAGAGGGTTGTTTCTTCTTCTTCTTTTGGTAGAGGAATCAGATGAAACCAGTAGGAAAGTGTTGACTGGGGAAAAGAGAGTGAGATGAGGAATAAAGAGGGAAATTGAGAAAAGCTTTCACTGAGAAAGAGGAGAAACGGGTTAAAAGGAAAAGGATATGTTTGGTTAAGGTTAAATGGAAGTGTTTCCTTGAAGATTGTTGAAGGTGAGGGAGACAAAGGAAAAGTGATGTGAAGAGTTTAGAGACTTTTTATAAGGCTTTTGTTGCGCGTACGTGTAATAATGTAATACTATGATTACAGGATATGGAAATTACTCCAAAAATGATGCTACCACGCATCTAGTAATTGCCGCAATAATTGTAATACAACGGTGCTCAGATAATTAAACTCTAGTTAACATGTAAAAATCATATAGACGTCAAGTAATGTCAATAACATTAATTATTCCTTACTCATCCAAGTTCTGTCATGATGCATTTTCTAAATACTAAATTTATATATGAGAATTATTAAGATGCTTCCTAGGCATGAAGTTTAACTAACAACGAGGAAATGTAAAATTCTCTTCTCTTTTTTTTTTTTTTTAATAATAAATACTCACTATTTTTTTTCTTCTTATAATTTTACTCTCATGAACTCATAAAAAATATTTTTTTAATATTATCAACATAAATTGTTAAAATATTGTATATTATCAATATTTTAGTTTTTAGGAGGAAAAGTGTCAATATTTTATTATGAAATACTTATATTATACATATTTAATTTATTATCATTGTATAGTTAAAAAAAATGTAAATTATAATATAGTAAATAGTCATATACCAAAAATATTACTATAAGTACAATATATGTAAGTATATATCTATATAACATATAACTACACACAATTTAAATGTTGATTTTGAATGTAATTTAACAACATATTTTTAATATCATTATAATTTATACCAATACTTTTTAATAATATACCAATATATATTATATTTAAAGTGTGAGTAAAAATATTTTTTTAGTAACACATATTGTGTCATTATAGGATGTATATCACTATATAAATTTTTTTGTAGTAATTATTATTGATTAGATTTATATATAAAATTTTAAAAATTAACCAACTAATGTAGTAAAGTAGTAAACTTCAAGGGATTAGGTAATAACATTACATTTGTAAAAATAATAAATAAATAAATGAATTATATTTTATCCTCTTACGAATTTACCTTGCCCAACGCTCTCTTTAATTATTTTTTATCATTTAATCCTTTATAAATTTTGGATTAAAATAAAAAAATGTTGTACCCATAATTAAGATTTTGGTCAATAAGTTTTTTTATTTATTACAGAAATGGTCAATATATCTAAAATCATAACTAAATTAAATAAATATAGCAAATTTAATATTTTTCTTTCACTTCAATCAAAACTTCAGAGTTAAGTGATGCATATAAACCACTCCCTCTCCTTCACAACAAAACAAAACGTAACTTGCCCTAAATAATGTGGAATTTAACTAATAAATAAGTTTAACTTTATTAAGGTTTGGATAAATATTTTTTTATTCTTTGAAATTATAATTAATGACGATATAGAGTTTGAATTTAATTAAAATTTTTGTGTATGTTATTTCAATCTTAATAATAAATTCCGATAAATGTGAGCACCTATAGAGCGAGACATGAAATTTTACCATAAAAAAAGGTAGAAAACTTTCTTTTAAGAAAAAAGTGTTAAGATATTGCTCATATTAGAAATCCCAAAAATAAGTTATCAATGTCCAAAATCAACATGGCATCTCAGTGTTTATGAGGTTGCATGTCTGCCCACAACCTCCGATATTCTTACAACATGTTTGTTTAAGTTCCCAAATTCATGTTTATTTTTGTTTTTTTAACACGTGTATTAAATATTTTTATATTTTTATTTAACTATCATTTTTATTATTAAATTACTTTTGAAATAAAAATATTCAAACATAATTCTTTTAATTTTAATTTAACAAAATTAAATTCTCCATATGCTCACCGAAAGATACAAATTGTTAATAAACACCTCCCGACATTTGCAACAGAGAATAGTGTTTTAAATGCGTAAGTGATTGTCATTCAATGCAAAATGTTGAAAGTTAAGGCACTGTTTTGATAAACCAATTAACATTTTTTATAAGTTAAAACTCTCTTATAATTTGTTTTTCTTTAAGGTTTTATAGTTTCTAAAAAACTTTTATAAATTATTTTAAGTAAAATAAGTTTAATTTATTTTATCTTTTATTTTATTCTACCATAAATGTTTACAAAATTTATTCAATTAAGCTTAAATGTTACTATAAATTACCATAAATTAATAAAGATATTATCAACCTTTTTTATTAATAAAAACAATAAAACTAAAGAATAACATGACTGTTCTTCAAACTTCAAAATCTTGAGTTTTCATTTTTTAAGTTTAATAAAAAAATGACATAGAAAATAATAATTTTAATGTAATTAAGATTTTAATAAATACTAATTTTTGATAAAATCAATAAATACTCCTTCTAATACTATAATAAAAAAAACTAAAAATAATAAATATAAAACACATACAAGTAACCTAGTGTAGTATAGTTGATATAAAACAATGTTAAGAATATTCTTTTAAACACATTTATTTTAATTAATTAAAATTTATTAAAAAAGACAAAAACGATAGATTTTATATTCTATTTAATGATTTAGTAATTTTAAATAAATTCTATTAACAAGAGTGTGCTACCGACTATCCCTCAATTGATATATAAATGTTTGATGCTTAAATGGATTTTCCTATTTCCAAAAATTAAACTTTGACTCTAAGTCAAAAAATGCTTTAAAAAAAGAAATACAAAATACAATAATTATCATACATGTATAGACTATTTAAATACACATCTGAATATTTTCTTATAACTTTTTAAAAATCTTTCTAATCCTTTATAAGAAAAATATTAAATAAAAATAAAAATAAAAATAAAAATATTTAATTTCTTAAAATATAAAAATACTTAATACATATGACAAGAGAAATTTACATTATTCTAAAATCTATGTATGTTAAATACTAATAGGTACAAGTTTTGATAAAGCATGTGTTGCAATTACAATTACGTTGGTGAATTATGTGTAAAAGTTGATGATTGGACCGTAAGCGCCACTTGATTAAGGCAATCGATGCGAGGGTGCCCGTGACAATTGCTGACCGCGGGCAGGACATAATAGAGAACAACGATTGGGTTTTGGCGCCAATTTTTCAGGGTATTGGGATCACCAATAATATAATCAATCAATCCTATGTTATGCTCAATAAGCTTAAAAAAGCTTCGACACAAAGCACTTTTCTTTTATGTATATTTTTTGTGGGGCCCTTTGTTAACACATGCTTTTGATTTTGAAATTCAAATCCAAAGAATTTCCATATGCAACCAAAATCTTGTATTATTATTGACCCATGTTTCTGCATATTCGTAATGATATTCATTTGTGACCTATATAATGTATACTGATCATATAATATACACATCATGTCCAGTTTAGTTTTCAAAATTTCAGAATCTTCGTCGGAATATTACAAAAGACAAATTTTTGTTTAAATTATATAATTTCAGAATCTTTGTTTCAGTATCAAAAGATATCTTTTTGCTTAAAGAACAAATTAATATAATAAAAGTTTTTATTGAAAATATTGTGGAAGAAGTATTTGAAATAAGAGTGATGACAATGTACCCGATACTACTTCGAATCTTGAATGTTTAATTTAAAGCTTTTTTTTTTTAAGTTTAATTTATTTTAATATTTAATTTATAACTTATTATTCTTTTTACCCTTGTTAATACATTTTTTTTTTTCTTTACTACTTGTAAATTAGTTTTTGATTTATTTCTAATTCCTATAAATTATTAATGATGTGACAATATGCTATTATTTTCACATCATTAAGTGATCTCATAATAAAATATCATCAATATAGCTTGATCTTGTCCCTATATTATAGTCGTTTTATACACGTATGTTTTTACCTTATTCATGTACGGTACCAACTAAGATTTTAGAGGAGACTCAACTATTATTTTCAAGTGTCAGCTTCTCAATAAAGATTTTCCATCAAATTTGGACTCACAAAATACCATAACACAATATCCTTATAGTAGGATATGCAACTTTTAAAACAACATCTCTTCTAGCCTTAAGTTAATCAACACCATGCCTTAAGCATTATCAACTTCACCATCTCAACAACATACAACATAATGCATCAAACATATTCAATACAATTAGTCAACTGAACAACATATAACTCAATTCAACTTTCAACTAGTAATTGTTAAAGGATTATGGAAAATGTACTAGTCGCACAAGTAGCTAGTAGAAAGTACTTTATCATTTCACCCAAGGACTTGTGTAATACTCGACAATAGATACTATTTATAACTAAATTAAACAAAAGAATATTTTTGAAAATCGAGTGTTGGTTTGTAAAAGAAGTAAAAAATATGCAAGAGAAAATAAAACTCTTTTTGATATTTTATCAAATAATTAGAAGACAAATTAGATTAGAGAATAATATGAAATATTAATGTTAGGATTAAACTTCGCCCCAACCTCACTCGTGCATATAATTACTCAATCTTCTTTTTTATTTAATATTAATGTCAATTTACAAGTTTACTCAAACCCAAATTTCTTAGAAGAAAGAGCTTAGGTTTCCTTATCAAGTATCAATCCCTTAAATACTTAATAAAAAAACTTGCATTAATAACAAGGATTTCAAACAATTAATGAGTCAAGTTTTATTCCTAGATACAAACTCTATTAGGTATTTTATTTTGATTTAAGCTTACAAAAGATATTTTCCAATACCTAATGAATCAAATATCAAGCTATGGTTGATCACTCCACAACAAACATTAAGAGAATAAACAAAATACTAACATTGAAAAGACACACACACAAACACACACATATATATATAACAATACAAATTATATGAGAGTTCAGTTGGTTACATTTAACCCTAACAAAATGGACTTAGCCCCTCATGATGAAGAACTCAAAAAGAAAATAAGATTTATGGTGGAAGATGAAGGACCAAGAAGAGGATTGTAGGTCTTCGAGCAAGCCCTAACAGTACCCAAAGAACCCTAAAAATCATCCCCCTAGTGGCCTTGTCGAAGAATGTCTTTAGTCCTTCAAAGTGAGAGGGAAAAAGTGAATAAAAAAAT